GGGCGTGTTTCTCATATACTACTGGTTTCTCCACTGGCAAGACACCGAAACTGGTGGAGGTGACCTGAAGAAATATGCAGGAAAGGAATATCTCATGGTTATCTTACCAAGGACTTGAAAAGCACAGCAGGAGTTCTGTCTCACCTTGTTTGTTCAAGATCTGAAATGCTGTATATTCCTAATATAAAACTTGGTACGGACAGGAACTTTTTAAACAAAAGATGTGGTTTTCTGCTCAAGTGAAATAAGATGAGAGATTTTTCTTGTTGGGGGATATTTTTAGATTTCTAAGGACTGACTGAAAAATGTCAATTGGTGCCTGCAGTGAAATGTGGGACTTTGCAATTAAAATTATCTGCTTTCCTTTCATATCTTTTGTCCAAACATGACATAGCAAAGAACCAGGAAGTGTTTTATTTCCACATATTCTAGCTGCCAAAAATAACTTTTCAATTCTGGGTTACACAAAGTCGAAATGAGTCTTTGGATGAAATTTTCCCAAATGGAAGGGGACACTGGAAATTCATTTTATATCAGCTCTAAATTTTATTTAAATTTGAAAAAAAATTGCCTGCCTTCTCAATTAATCACCATTTTCCTGTCTGGCATTTGTGATAGCCTACTAGTTCTTCAGGAGGCCTGGGGTAAGGTGAGGAGAAAAGATCTGTCAGCTGGGAGGAAGAATAAAAAGCCACCAAAAATTCCTCCCATACATCTTCCATAGCATTTTGTTAAAATGAATGTTTGTTGGAGACAGGGAGATTCATACAAATCTAGATTTAAATAACAGAGGACAATGACAAAAAAGTGAACCATCTTGGGAAATTACTTTGAATTTCCCGGCTTTTGTCAGGTTTGTCACAGCCTTATCGTTTGCGGGGTTATTTTGTGTGTGTGTGTGACGGTGGAATCCTTCTGGCTCGTACACTAAAACCAGGACTGTTCAAAGTATCACATTTTCATCTTAGTACTTATCTCCCTGATCTTAGAGATGAAAACATACCCCATAGTGTGTTAGATGTAAAAGCCATATGTAGGTGATGATATAGATGGTTATTAAGGGAGTTGATATAGTTAGCAACAGAGACATTGTATCTAGTCACTTTTTTTTTTTTTTTTTTTTTCCCCCTTGTAATTGGCTACGAGTGGCTCTAGATTCCCAAGGAGGGTCTTTCTCCACTACTTCATCACCAGCTGCTTGCCACTGCATTTGTATTTTCTTTGTTTCTTCTTTTCTCTAATGCATATTTCTTTTGACTGGAGGTGGAATGATACATCTTTTGAGACCCCCCTCCATGACTTTTTTCACTCCTTAGGGTTTCTCAGAAGAGTTAGGGCAAAAATGACCCTACTGGAAGACCTTCAAACTGTGCTTTTGGACAGGACACCTGCATTTTTTTGTTCCCCTGGAGTCAAAGTCTTTATTCACAAACATTACCTAGAAAGTTTTGTTAGGTGTTTTGTTGTTCTAATTGCTTGTGTCCTTTTTTCTGTAGACCCTGACTGGGCCAGTTTGAATCTGGGAGCCCTCATATGTATCGAATGCTCAGGTATACACCGAAACCTTGGCACGCACCTGTCCCGGGTCCGCTCTCTCGACCTGGATGACTGGCCTATAGAGCTCATCAAGGTGATGTCTTCTATCGGGAATGAGCTGGCAAACAGCGTCTGGGAGGACAGCAGCCAAGGCCATATGAAACCTTCATCAGACTCCACAAGGTAGGCTTTCCTACTCCATCTGGCCGTGCTATGCAGTGGGCAGGTAGTGTGTGATACTGCACGTGGTCGAGTCTGTAAGCTATGAGTACATAAATCCTCATTTTGGCATTGCAGTCAGAGGTGGCAGGGCGTTACAATGTTTTACAACATGGACTTTGAAAATTCTCCCTTGGAGTACACCTTGTAAAAATCATTGCATATATATATCTTCATTGGATGCGCAGGAAGAACATGTGTCAAAGCAGGGGGTGTCAAAAGTTGAGTGACCCTGTTACTTTTTCAGTCGTGTGAAGGTTTCCTGAGCAGCTCTACAGGTTTTTTTTGTTCAATTGACTGACTGACAAAACAGTAGGAGATTGAAACCTCCCGCCTGGTTGTTCCTCAATCTAAATTATACTTGTAATGGGTTTCTTTGTTTCGGTTGGCTACAAAGTTCCTGGCTCTTGGACTATCAGTTGATGATTAATAATCTGCCTTCAGTAGTTCGAGCTCACCCAGGAATTTTTACCTGGATGTCAGGTCTTTGGGTTCTCGTCACAGATGTTGAAAGTCCTGCTCACTGTGAACTTGCTTACTTTTTTAATGTGAAATCAAAGTTGGTGGAGGGGTGTGTTTCCTATGAGAACAGTATTTTGCCAACTTCACATAACTCAACACAGTGAAAAAATCTTTCTGCAATATGTTGTCCTACCAAAAGCTAAAGGATTTTTATGCTTAATTTATCTGATCAGTGTTAAAGAAAGATGTTTTGAAAAGGCTTTCCTGATTTTAGTAGATTGAGGCTACTAGTTACAACTAAGGTGTTGGCTTGGGGGATGCAGGATGACCTTTGGCAGACTGCATTTCGGCAGGGGGTTTTAGGCAGGAGAAGGACCTTCTGGACTACCTTGCACAGCTGGGCCAACCTTTGAAGTTGTCTTCAGAAGTGTGTTATAATTGTCTTAGGGGGAGCTCCAGGGGGGCAGCCTGCATCCGAGCCCTGGTCAGTCCCCAGGTAGCAAACAACACAATGGAGGTTTAGCTCTCAGCATTTCCCTCCTGCATATGAGAGAAATCAGAGGGAATTATGTTTGATTTTGTTGATGTGTATTTCCGGATCTGCTTTTTTCCAATGCCAGATCAAGTGAAATTATAACCTGGGAGCGTATACCTGAGCCACCTCCTGTGGTGTAAGAGTAGGTTTGTACTATTGTCTGTAATAAAGTCAAGTGTTTCTTATTGCATTATTACGTTAGCACTGAAAAATGAATTTGTGGTGCCACCTTTGGTTCATCTTCGAGAATGAAGCCAGTACATTAATCAGGCTACTTAGACGAATGACTATGCGTATAAAAATGTTTAGGTAGACCTACACTGAGGTTTTGTTCACACATAAACTATGTGTCTGATGTATACATGTATATTATTAGACAGCTAATAAAATTATTTTATCAGGTAGATTGAAATCAACTTACTGCTGCCTTTCGGTCATTAGTATTACTTTAAACCAGAGATCTTATATTGTTGCACCTAACAAATATATGTTGCTCCTTACTACTGAGGTGAGCTAGAGAGATACCTCAATTCAAAATACTCAAAAAAGAAAGACTTACACTCAACTGGATTTTTATTTTTTAACACCCCCCCATTATTTTAGCATTCATATAATAAAGTATTGTAATGAAAAATCTAAAATATATATGACTGTGATGAAAACAGAGCCATCCATTTGAATTAATGCATTTTTTGTGTTTCAAATTGAATTTTACTTATAGAAAATCACTTTGTTCTCTTTGTATTTCATGCTCAGGGCTTATTTTAATTCTTCTTTGTTTCTGTACATCTTCATGTTTATATTAAGCTGCTTATGTTTGTCAGTGACATAATTGCACTTTCTTTCCTGAACTATAACATTTGTGGACCAAAAAAAAATTTATAAATATGTATTTCCAGCTATGTGTCCAAGTGCACACTTACAGTGGAAGAACTGCTACAAAAAGTAGCATTAAGGTTATGTGAAAATTTTCCCACAAAGCAATTGTAATCTTGCTTTGCCACTCCCGGTTTTTCTGCTCTTTGCAGCACAGACTGAAGTGATATTTTTCATGTAAATATCTGAAAGGTCTGCTTTTTCAAAGTATGTTCCTTCTTTTGTACCTTACTTTGGTCTCTAAACATCGTAATCCTTCTGTCCAAGAAAATAAGTTCAAGTTCTTTAGGTATAGATTGCACATTCCATTTTCTCACTGCTGTTTGCAGTTTTGCATGAGGAATTATCAGAAGCAGCTACAATGGACCCAAACTGGGGTTAAACAAACCCCCGTTTTTTGTTGTTGAGGGACTGAAGGGGGAGAAGGCAACTGAAGCTGAGGGACTGGGAGAAGAGGCAAGGAAGTAAGCAAATAGAAATATGTCATGGAGCTAAGATTTGGAGTTCTGGTGGAGAAGGGATGGAGGGAGTCCAAGGATATTTGGAGATCAGGGAAGAAAGAAGCATTCAGCAGAACCCCTTCTGAAGGGGCAGAGAGCTGAGAGCTGTTGCTGGGGGGCTGTTCCAGCCCATACTGGTGAGCTCTGGGATCAGCTGGAGTCTGAGAGCCACCATGTGAGGGGGCTCATACTTTCAGGTGCTCCTGCTTTAAGTTCTCACCAAAGCCCCATCAAGTGCGAGAGAGAAGTTCTCCCAAGTTTCCTCCAGGCTCCTCCTGAGCTTGTTCATATCCCCCTTTCCTCCTGCAGACCCTACATCTGTCCTGCCTAGTGCTCCCATTTTCAATTGTCCTTTATATACTTACTAATCCACCCTCCATGGCTTTCCATGTTTGCTCAGACCTTCAGGCTGTGCCTGCAAACACAGTGTTGGAAACACAAGAACAGAAGATTCCTAATCATTCCCCCAAGTGATTCAAAGGCTTAACACAAAGCATCAGTAAAAGACCTTAGATAAAAACAATCTTCCCAGGTGTTTCTTTGACAGACATGGCTCTTCACTCTTCTGTCTCTGCTGGGCCATCCCCAGACCACCAAAAGTTTTCAGCACAATGATGGACCCTCTGTCAATGGACACTTGTACAGGGGATCAAGAATACTTGGGTTTCACCATTTCATGTTGTGTCTTTCTGTTGGAGATGAAGCCCACAGGCTTTCTGGGGGCAAAAGAAGGTTATTAACTGCTACACAGGTACAGAATCTATTGGGCTGTGAGGCTCGAGGAGTGTTGACGTGCTGGACTTAAAGGAACCTGAAAGTCTTGACGTGGCATCAAAAGTAGTCCCTTCAGCTTGGAAGAAGCTGGCACTGATCACCGAATCATGGCAGTGGCATCGTATGCATTTCTGTTGAGTAGAAGGAAGGAGAGACCCAGGGAGGTGGATGTTTTGCAGGAGCGATTGCCAAATGGCTACTCTAGGTCACAGCATAATCAAGGAATCTTACTTGGGAAAATGTCACCAATATTTCTAAAAATAGAGCTGTGAGTACGGCTTGAATCTTTAATTTTGTACACTCAAAAATAAGATAAACATTATCAAACTTAAACCACATCAAATATACCAGACTGCTGTCCTTTCCTAGTCCACTCAAATTCACTTAAAACTCTTTCTCCGGAAAGTCATGGGGAAAGATAAACCTGGAAATGTATTTTGAAGATCAGAAAGGCTCTTGGCTTGGAGGGTGTGAACTCAAAAGCCTGAGAGTTTTTGTAGCAAAAGGCATTAGCGCTGTTACTTTCATCAAGGATATGTTGCCCGGGTATTTCCAGGTATGTTAACACATGCTAGGTCTCATCAAGTCTGAGAGTCAGTTTATAAGCAGATCTCCAGGTCATTCGGTGTCTCTGGATCAAAAGCAACACCTTGGATGGCCTCTAGCCTGAAACTGGAAAGCAGCGCAGGTGAAATGGGATCCCCGAGGAAGAAGCGTAGAGTGCAGCAGTAGCATGATGCAAAGTTCAGACTGAAGGTTGGCATGATTACAGGGAGGGAAGAGGAATAAACACAAGCTCCTGGTGCAAAGTTGGTGAAGCAGCAGAAAACTCAAGCATGGACAAATATGTGAACGTGAAAGAGAAAGGGGACCAGCTGGCCTCTGAGTTGTGGTGTCCATGGGTCCCTGATTAGGTCAGCTTTGGAAGGCTGGTAATTGGTTCCAGCAATTACCAGCAGCCCTGAGAACCGCTGCTCAAACTTCGGGAGCCTTGTGACAAATTGAAGCTGACTGCTGGTGAAGGAGTATCGACTTCCCATTTCTAAACAGGGGGATCATTAGTCAAGAAAAGCATCTTTTAATTACTCACAGGAAGAAAAAAAAAAAAAAAAGCAACTGCTGGGTTTTTTCCAAGTGTATTCAATATTAAATTTATTTTCATGGAGGGGAGAGGTAGAGCCAGGAGAGTTTGCCTGCGGTCCCTCCTTCAATAACGTGGGTTTAATTTGGAGTGAGAAGTCAAATTAGAGTAAATCAATGTTGCGACAATTAACTGGATCTGGGCATGAGATCAGGATTTTCCCCTCTAATTGCTATTGATACTATTTAAGCACACTCTTAAAACATTGATGAGGAGTGGTGCAAGAGGAGTAGCCCAGTGGGGCAGGGGCTGAGCTGCTCCATGGAGGAATGTCAGAGTTGTGTTGAAGCCAGTGTGAGGAGTCTGCCCCATGTTCCACCTGAGCATTTTGCACTGGTATGTATATCTCCTCTGGACACACCTCACATATTTTGCTTTCTCCACTTAATAGTCTTGCATGTGTGGCTTCTGGTTTGCCGACTTGCTTACCACCATCAACTTCCTACAGTCTTGTTGGCTTTTGCACAGAATCATCTAGGTTGGAAAAGACCTTGAAGATCATCTAGTTCAACCATTAACCTAACCTAGATTTCCACATGAGGCAAGCTGCCGCCATCCCTTTGCCCACTCCAGGAGGTGATTTTCTGCTCCCTGGCACTCGCTCTCTTTCTCTGAGCTCCCGACATCTCCATCTCTGTCTCACTGGAAGTACTGGGATGTGCCAGCAATGAGAACA